CACTCTGTCTTTGCCATGGCCGGGTGTTTTACAAGGTGGCTATTCAAAATCAGGTAAGCGGATTACCCCAAGTAAGCGGGGAGCACTTGCTTTATGGTCTGCCGAGCCACTGCTTTCAACGAAGAGCATCGGTGATTCGTCCAACCAATGCAAAAAAATAACCTAATTTTGAAAACTTTTTGACCACATACTTTTATTTATGCAGTAAAAGTTGGAACAGTATATATTAATTTTGCAACTTTGGCCTACATTCTTAATGATTTTTAGCAAACGTGGTGGTACATGACTAGGCCATACTTAAACAGAGGCATGAAGCGTCTTTACGTCTAAGTGAACTTGTTGAAAATCATTTTGAAGTGCTTCGGTTTTCTGAAAATGCCATCCTTGTTTAATTCTTCCACAGGTGGTAGTCTATCGACACATTTCAAGGTGTACCGTAGCAATATGTTGCCGATGACCTGGAATTATCAAAAACTTGAATCGCTAAATTAGACCATTGTATCATAATTATTACCAAATATAGCTCAGCTCTTGCTAGCGATTCTGCAATGCATGATCTCTTTCCGAGTCCGAATGCAATCACAGCTGAAGTTAGCGAAGGATCAGAGATATATCTAGACGGATCGAACTAAATCCTACGTATAAAGAAGTATTGGAGGGTCAAAATTGAAAGGAAGTACCACATCGGGATTTGGAAACTTGTTCTCATCGCTAAGAACCAAAGACAATTGTATTGCTACCACTGTGTCCTTTGGAACGGGATAACCATCAATTTCCGTATCTGAGTCAGTTTTTCGAAAAAGATTCATATTTAGAACAGAGGCCAACCGCAGGACTTCCTATAATATGTATGTGTGTTACAGAACGAAGTGGAAAGGGGATTTCTCACAGTGATGGTAGCTAGGAGATATGGTGTTTGAGGTTTGTCTGTGAGAGAAAGTGGTCTTGAACCTCCAGTTGCTCTCTGCACTTCTTTTCGGACATTAGTCGCTACCTATAATTCATTCCTGTGTGCAAATTAATTTCTGTGCTCTGCTGAAATCACCAAATTTCTAAAAGGAGTGGTACTCTAGACTCACTTGCGGATTTCTTAACAGAAAGATCAATGCCCAACAAACAACCGAAGAAGTCGTCTCTTGGCCAGCCACCCACAGATCCATAATGCTGATAGCGAGTGATTCGTCACTGTAAAGAAAATACATAAAACTCATCTTTAGTCTTTTTGCATCAACCACGTCTTGATTTCGGCTAGTACACGGTTTTTTATTAGTTTGAAAAGAGGAAGATGTAACTCACTCAAAGGAACTATCGGTAACCCCTTCTTTGGCGTTTTGGCTTATCTTTTGTAAGAAAGCATCGGTGTAATCTTTGGGTTCAGCATCTATCACATGGCTTCCGTCCTCTACGGCACGCCTTCTGTAATA